CAGTTGTGGTTTAATGTTTTTCAGGTTCTTCAGGAGACCGTGGCAAGGCAAAGGCGTGATCGTATCGCTCATTGTGGTTATGTTTTATGATATGGACCTGGGAATACTCTGATAATAAATGTATTAAAAACCTTTTTGTAATAACTTAATGAATTGGGATGTTTTTGAAAAGCTAAATTTTGTTGAAATTTTTGGTCGTTACACCTTGGCCGCCACTAGCCAACGTGGGAGGTGGATGTGTGTGTGTATTTTATGTGTGAGGTTGTTTATGCGCTTTTTGGGCAGGACCCACCACCACCATCATTGGAAATGGTGGCTGCCGCCGCCTGCCGCCACCTGCCGCCACCGATCACCACCGCTCGAGGTGGCAGTGGGTGGTGCCCAACCTAGTGGAACCTAGTGGACCTAAACACTTAACCTTGGACTGGGCTGGTAAGTTATTGGGCTAGAGACCCTAATTAGGGTTTAGAAAACCCTAATTTTTGGGTTTGTTGGTTTGGACCTATTAGGACCCACGTTTGGACCAGTGGATGGAAGTATGACACATGCCAATTCCATTGTATGATGGCTTAGTGGAATAATGGACTTAATGGGTTAAGTCCTTAATGGGTTAAGTGAGAACACTTAACTCTGATCGTCATTTCATGTGAAAACCCTAACTTTGCTTAGGCCTTGAGTTAGGCCTTTCTATTGGACTTTAATGATTGGGCTATTGATGGGCCATCCAAGAACAATCATGTGGACTAGAATATGTAGATGGGCTTTAAGGTAAGGCCCCAATGAGGGTTTGGGCCCAATTTGGAAAACCGGGCCATAGTTGGGCCATTAGTGGACCTTTGTGTACCCATTTGATATTAGGCCTTGAATGGCTCAATGGGCTTAGGTTATTTATGGGCTGAGTTGGGGGACCATATTTAGACCTAATATGTGAAGGTATGGTCTTAGATCCTAATGAGGTTAATTATGGTTTTGGCTCAGTGTTGATGGTCGGAGTACAACAACATCATTTATAGGATATGTCTGCCATCCGATGTGAGTCTTCTCACTATACTTACCTGTGTGGTAATTTATGTGTGACCGAAGGGTCTTATTTGTGCTATTGACCGGAGGGTCTTATTTACTTTATTGACCGGAGGGTCTTAGTACATTATTGACCGGAGGGTCTCAGTACATTGTAGACCGGAGGGTCTCAGTACATTATTGATCGGAGGGTCGTATTTGTTTATAATGTGATATGTGTTATTGTGCATATTGTGTTTGTGACTTATGTTGTTATAGTCATGTGTGTAAATGTTCTTATGTGCTTATACTAAGATATGTGATATCATGCATTCTGTTTTGTGATTTATGTTGTGTATTATCCTGTGCATTGTTGGGATAGGACCAGAGGGTCCATCTGAGTTGTGGAACCAGAGGGTTCCACTGAGACACATTGACCGAAGGGTCTTATTTGAGATATAGCCATGAGAGGCTAATGAGATGTGTGTAGTATTTTGGGGACTCACTAAGCTTTATGCTTACCATGTTATGTGTTATGTGTTCCAGGTACTTCTCAGGATAACTGGAAGGCGTTGGCTTGATTGTACACACGAGATGGAGTTATGTTTCTGAGGATCCTGGATTTTATTCAAACAACTATGAACATGTGTTTTTGATAATTTGACATTTTGGTTATTTTGTGATATGTGTTGATGAGATTTATGTGATTTTAAAATGAAAATTTTGCTTGGAAATTCACGGTGTTACATGGAGATCATGAAAGTCTACCGATAAACAGCTCTTCAAATAGTATAATTACTAGACATTTTATGGCCATCACTCTCAACACAAGTTTTGGTTTTGGGGCTCCTTCTGTGTAACCAAATCGAAAAATACATTAACAAATGAAAAATAAAAAACTAAAATCCTTTGTACAAATACAAGGAGTTTTGAATTGCACCAAAACCCGTAAGTTAAAATTGAAGAAAATGCACAAACCATTGAGTAAATGCAAAAATAATAATAATAATAATAATAACAAGTTTTAGACATGATAGCTCATACAAAATTCAATGTTTAGATTGAATTGGAAGTTAAGCATTGGAATTCAAGATTTCATTCTAACCGAATTGGAATTGAAGATTCCTTTATGGCAGAATTACCCTAATTATATTACATACTAGTTCGATGTTGCTACTGCTACTACTCTTTCTCTTACATAATATATAGAACACATTGTGAAATTAATGTTTTCTTTCTTTTCCAATGGTTGCAGTCAAATCGAAATCACATACTTTTTCCACTATAAAAAAATTGTCGACGCAAAAGAAACAAATAATAAAAGTGTTGTCAAATGAGATATTAGATTTTGATTTATTCTACAATTTTACACTCTCCTTTTTATTACAGTAAGTTAAATATGCCAATTTGTTATTATTATAAATAAAAAACTCACTAAATTGACCAATGAATTTTATTCTAAAAGACAAACAAAATTTCTAGTTCCCACGCACCAGAAGCAAATTTAAATCGCTTTCTTGTTTTGATTTGAAACTATGGTACCAGAGCCACAAAGTAACCTTTAGACGGGATGATTGAACAACGAATTGAAGAATGTTAATAGAGAATTACCACATAAATTAATTTGTAATAACTAATCAAAGTGATGAAAAATTATTCACGTATTCATCGAGAATATCATAGACAAATAAAAAAAATCAAATCATTGATGAAGAAATATCCAAAGTGCGCATGTATGTGTCGCTTTATTCAAGTGCAAGATAAATCCAATTCGTTTTTATATCATAAGAATCCCTTCGAAAATAACAAAAAATTGAGCATTTAAAATTTGTATCCTATTGCTAACATCAAATTCGTATGTTCAGTAAATATATAAGAAATTACATTCTTATATCCTCCATGTAAAAGTAGACTTACCGCTGCTGTGGGGAAAGATTCAGTGACACCATTGATGTGAGGAAAGATTCAGCGACAGATGTGGGGAAGGTATAATATCTATTATATTATTCGAGCATAGTAACTATATAAAATATATTCTATAAAAATATCAACTTTTATAGTGTAATGATAATAACCATATAATGATCATTAGAAATAACTATTCATGTATTCCTCTTATATTTGATAAAAAGTTGGAAAAATGAGCTGAAAAACTCACCATTGAAGCGCGCTTTTATCGATAATTTCTGCTTGATGAAAAGAGATCAAGGGATCGGGACTGCTCGGGCTCCAAGTGAAAAATGTTTAAAATATTAATAATAAAGATTTCCAAAAAGAACTATGGAGGAAAATAAACAAATCAATCGAAACAAATTTGTGAATCGACTGTGTAGAAAATAAGAGACTCGTGCTTCCTTTTATAGGCTAAATTCATAGGGGGCGTGCTGCACTTTTTAGGTAGCACGACGCGCTCAACCAGCGTGGCTCATTCTCAAGCTGGCACATGTCATGTTCTCCCTAGTTCGCAGTTCCTGCTTCTAGAAGGTCTACGTGTCGTGCTGACACGCAAGCCAAAAAACTGTGTTTTTGTAAATTGCATAACTTTTTCATACGAGTTTTGTTTTTAGCGTTTTTTTTATATCTATGCATAGCTATCGATGGGTACTACAACTTTCCTTTAGGTTGCATTGACTAATTTAAAATTTATTTTTAGCCATTATTTTTATATGTGTAAATGATTTTATAAAAAAAAACATCTCTCTCGTAAGAATTCCGTTTTTGGCACTTTGTCTCAATATTCTTATCTCGAGTTGTTCAACGATTCTTCTTCTTCTTCTTTAATCTAAAAGTCAACGTTCTTTTTGTAACCTTTTAACATTAAAGCTTTTTATACGCGATTGATTTTTATATTTTATAAAATTCATATTTTCTTCATATGAACTCGAATTTTTACGAAATTTATATATCCAGGGTCGGGTAGACGTACACTTTCGGAATATGTTATTATTTCCTTAGAATAAATAAAATTTCTCACACTTTTTATAGATTACGAACGACATTGATGAATTTTTTTTGTTGTATCTTAATACGAAATCTTGTATTTTTATCTTAGATTGATAAATATTAGTTATTAACTCTATCATACTTGGCATTTTGTCACTTTTAGCGGTTAACGACCGTTGACAATTCTTGCAGTTGTTACACGTTTTATATATTCTGACATAATACATTTTGCTAGAACACACTATCATTCTCCATGTTTTGTTTTTCGATATAAATCATAAATTATATTAAAGAAAAAACATTAAGAACATGAACCAAGTTAAAAGTAAGAATCATGTATTCTAACATAATATATTAAGAGTACGTTTGGTACAGAGAAATGAAATTGTTGTAGAGAATGGAAACGCAGAGAAAGAGAATTAAACTGGAGAAAGAGAATTGACTCTCCTGTTTCGTAGAATTGAGAATCCACTGGAGAAATGATTTTGAGAATCATTTCTCTTATTTGTTTGTGTTAATCAATGAAATGAAAATGAGTTTTTTTTACCTTGTTTATTCATTTTCAAACAACATTTTTGATAAAATGCATTATGATGTACATCTTAATTAGTCAAAATATGCATCTTTCATGTCTTTAATTTTTTTAATTTTAATATTAATTGTTACTACACAATATATTTTCTAATAAATTAATATTATTTTTTATACATCTTGTATTGAAAAACATAATTCTAATATAAAAGAATAACTTACAAATAGATTTTAAAGATATGCAAATCATACTATTCAAAAACTATAACCAATGTAGGATATATGCAAAAAGTATAATTCAATATTCCTAACAACTAAAAAAACATAATCATGTTTAATACATAATGTGCAGAGATTCAACTTCAATATTCGTAAAAACTATTAAAAAAACATAACTTAAAATAACATAATCATGATATTGAGTCATCCCCAATCATTTCCATGTAACAAATCTTTTCTTCTTCTATCATCTTAAAAAACGCCCATGCACGAAATTGATCTTTGTTAAAAATGTCAATCGCATTAATTCACTGTTTGACATTGATATTTGGCATGCGTTGTATATCTTCGATAACTTTATCTATCATGGCACATGCTTTCTTATTTTCTTGCCTTCCTCTATTGTATATTGTTTCATTAAGTTTTTCACCAACCTCCTTGAAAGTCTCTTTCATTTCTTTCGCTGCTTTCTTATAAGAGCTTTCCATGTCATCCTTTTGAGGCCTTTTGCGTTTACTATTGACACGAGCAGTTTGTTGCATCTCTTCAATAATCTCTTCCAACCCTTCCAAATCAACAGGTGAGTTTCTCTGTGTCTCTTTAGTCACAACTTCACCAAGATCAGTAGCTCCATGACAAGTAGCTCTATCATTCCCGAAGATTTTACATAGGTTATCAAATTGAGGAAATGGTTTATCGCGAAAACATGCAGCACCTTTATGACGCTACAAGAATGACAGAAAATTAATCGGTTGCTATTAACTTACAATATGTTTTAATGATGATAAAAGTACTATAAACATAATCATTATCGTACCTTTATGTACTCATCCCAAACTTCAGCATCGGCAGTAACACAACATTTATCGGTATCCTAACCGAATCAATTTGTGTTTGTTCCATATACCATGTCGTGCATGATGTTGAAATGGTTTTTCCATATCTTCATCCTCAATTTACTATGACGCTCTGCTTTCAAACCTGAGTTAGGAAGACTTACATCTAGTAATTGTTGCACTGCCTTCAAATAACCGGGTTTGAATCCGTTGTCAGCACCACCATACTTTTCGGAGACATGTAATTCCAACAATGCCTCAATTAACTTTGTATCCTCTTTGGTAGTTCATGTGTGTTTGTTTCGCCCTACCATGTCTACAAAAAAAATTACATAATGGATGCTTGAAATAGTAATTCAACTTAAGCAATTAAGTGTGGGGCTTGAAATAGTAATTCAACTTAATTGGTTAAGTTTGGGGGATGTATAACTCAACAAAAACTTAACAAATTAAGTTGTTATTTATTCTAAAACGTAGACAAGGCAGAGGAGTACAATCTGGAAAAAAAAATCGCATCATTCCGAGCTTTTATGAAGCTCTTATGATGGTTTAAAGTTGGACAAAATTTATAAAAAATGATGAAATACCATACAACAATCATAATAGCCTCTATTTGTGGTTGTATAACTCAACAAAAACTTAACAAATTAAGTTGTTTTTTTATTCTAAAACGTAGACAAGACAGGGGAGTACAGTTTGAAAAAATAATCACATCATTCCGAACTTGTATAAAGCTTTTATGATGATTCAAAGTCGGACAAATTTTACAAAAGTGATAAAATATCATACAACAATTGTAACAACCTCTTTTTGTAACTGTATAACTCAACCAAAACTTAACCAATTAAGCTGGTTTTTGCAATAGTCCCAAAAAAAATCCAAGTTTATTTTGAGGGCAATGGTATTTTCGGCCAGAAGAAATAGGTTCAACATGTGGTTGCGTTTAGTTGTGTTGATGTGGAAGAGGTCAAATGACGTGTAGTAGTTTGATGACGACAACAATGGCTTAGGGTTATTGAGATAATGTAGACGTGATGTGATGATACAAGGCAAATTATTTATCCATAATTATATGTATTTAAATTGGAATGTTATTTAGTTTATATATAGTTTTACTAATATACCCTAATTAGACTAATTAATGATTTATATTTTCTTAAAATCTTATTGGTTCAAACATCTACACAATATATATATATATATATATATATATATATATATATATATATATATATATATATATATATATATTTATTGCCGTTTCATTGAAAAAAAAAACTTGTTTCACATTTTTCATATTAGTTTATCAAATGAAATTCATAATTATTTGTGACATGGAATGCTATCTACCTAGCTATGATGCATTTATTTGATTTGTTGTAAGGTCAAATCTAACCCATTATCGTACAAGTCATATATATATATATATATATATATATATATATATATATATATATAATATATATATATATATATATATATATAATATATATATATATATATATATATATATATAATTTAATAGATAATCATAATTATTGGTTCTTTAAGAAACCAATCATAATTATTGGTTCTTTAAGAAACCAATTTTTTTTAATTTCTAAAGTTTATTGTTTATCGAAAAAAAAAAACTAAAAATATCTAAATTCATATATTAACATTGTGAACGTAAAAAATACTTTTCGGATTCACCGTGTGAATCCGGATTCACATTGTGAATTTTCAAAGATTCACATTGTGAATTTGACATAAAAAAAATCGAATTTTATATTATTGGAAAAATGATAAAAAGTTAGGAATTTCTATATTTTTAGTTTTTTTTTTATACAAAATAAGTTCTAAAAATTGAAAAAAAAGATTGATTCATTGGTTCCTTGGTTAATTATGATTCTCTATTGAACCTCACCCTATATATATATATATATATATATATATATATATATATATATATATATATATATATAATATATTATATATATATAGTAGGTGTGAGACCCATGTATTACATGAGTTTAATTAAAAAAAAATATAAAAATTTTAATAATTTGAATAGTTTGAATTTATAAGAAAAAAATAAAAAAAAATGAATTATTAAAATTAATGAGACTTTAATGTATTGAGTACATTACGTATATAAACAATTTCTAATAAATACTTTACATATATATTATCTTACATATTAAATGTGAAATTTTAATTTAATAAAATAAAAAATACAATAAAATAATAAGTGAAAAATAGAAAATTTAAAAATTCTAGAAAATGTCATGTGTTCAAATGAATGAGAAGAGGATATGTGGCAAAAAACCTTCATTTATTTTAGTGGATATATACACACACACACACACACACACACACACACACATATATATATATATATATATATATATATATATATATATATATACTATAATAAATGAAGGTTTTTTTTTGCTACATATCATCTTCTCATTCATTTGGACACATGACATTTTTCTAGAATTTTTAAATTTTCTATTTTCCACTTGTCATTTTATTGTATTTTTCATTTTATTAAATTAAAATTACACATTTAATGTGTAAGGTAATATATATGTAAAGTATTTATTAGAAAAAAATTTATATATGTAATGTATTCAATACATTAAAGTCTTATTAATTTTAATAATTCAAATTTTTTTAATTTTTCTTATAAATTCAAACTTTTCAAATTGCTAAAATTTTATATTTATTTTTTTTAATTAAACTCATTTAATACATGAGTTTCACACCTAGTATATATATATAATGAAGTTACACATGTGGGTCAGCGGGTCAACGCCTAGATTCAAAGATCTCATCGACTTTGGATGAAGGGGGATGTATAATGGAAGTTGCACGTAACCAATGACATGATGTTCCATATAATTGTGATATGGAAATTGAATGTCATCGGGTTTTTGTGGTCTACATTATGAATGGTAACACCAGGGGTTTTATAAGACTTATTTCATTTCATAAAAAGTAAATATGGAATGTTAAAATGAGAATTACTAAATATGATATGAAGGCTTAAATATTGTTTAGAAAAGTTTTTATAATAAGTTGTTACAGGCCTTCCATCTCTCATCTTTTTCATGCTAACGATGAAATATTTAATGGAATAGCACCTATATTCACAACTTCCCACGCATTATTAATTGTTTTTTTGGCTTCTTTCGGCCTAAAAGTTAATTTTCATAATTATCATGGTTTTGGCATCGCCAACTTCAAGTTAAAAACTAATCATTAGGCTCACTTTCTTGGTTGTGCAGCGGAATCTCTTCCATTCAAGTATTATAACTTGAATATACTTGATGTTCCGATTGGTGTAAACATCTCTCTCAAAAAGCATTGGAATCCATAATTGAGAAGTTCCAACCTAAGACCAACTCCAATAGACCGGCAAAATGATGATTTGTCGGTCAAAAGAGCTCCAATCAAATTGTAAAACAAACGGTAAAATGGTGATGTTGAACAGTAACCCACTAAAATGGTGGGACACTGTTCATAACCGGCAAAATTTATAATCAATATTATATTGTTTGTTGACAAAACTTTAAAAATGATCTCTGTGGTTTCCAAAAATATCAAATTTAGTCCTTAAGTTCAAAAAAAACTTACAGATGATCTCTGTGGTTTCAAAACTTTTAACAAATGGTCATTTTCGCTAACTCCGTTAGTTTTTTACCGTTAAGTGAAGGGTATTTCTATCAATTCACTATTACAGGGAGCATTTTTGAAGTTTTGCCCTTATTTAAAATATATATATATATATTATTTAATATAGAAAAGCTCTCTCTCTCTCTCTCTCTCTCTCTCTCTCTCTCTCTCTCTCTCTTCTGCTTTAACATCTTGTAAAGCTAATATATCTGCATCCAATTCTTTCAAAACTTCAAGAACAGTTTTCGTTGTCCTATAACCTTTCCCTCTTTGATTTTCATATTCTTTTGAAGAAAATCTGTTTTGTGATCTTAAAACACCTTTCCCTTTCAAAATCCTACTTATACCCTTTGAATTAATAGTTTTTGAACTTGGGCCTTCTTCCGTTTCGTCTATGGAGAAGCTTAACTGCCTACTTTGCTTCAGTGAGATCTCGTTGTCGGGTAAATTGATTGAAACTCTTAACTTTGATTTTGCGAATTTCTGTTGTTTTGATACAGTTTCTGAACTGCTCATGGAGCTACTTGAATGCAATAGTGATTGCTTTAATATACTTTTGGGACGATCAATCATTGATTTTGATCTTGAATTGGTGTAAGAAACAGAGCAATTTGATGGTACCTTACTACTGTAATCTTGTTCGTCTTCGCCATAATCAAAGCTTGAAGCTTTTTCAGTCAACTCTGGAACTGTTGGTGCCATGGAGAACAAAGTGGCATTAAAAGTTGCGATTCAAATTGGGGTTTCTGATTTCCCCAAATAATTATTTGGATGAATTGTGGCTGACCCATTTGTGTTTGATATATCTTGAGTTCTGGAATTCAATTTACCGAACCTTTTGATAATGACTTTCGGTTTTGAATGGCGGCGCACCGGCCACCGGAACTTTGAGCAGAGTCGTCGGAGGTTTTTGTTGAAGATACTAAGCATTTTTTGAGAGGAAACTTCACCCTACTTGAGGGCTCTGATTCCACCTTTGAATTCTTGATTGAAAAACTGAAATCTTTGATGATAATTAATAGTTGAAGAAGTGATTTTTGTGGGTATCTAAGAGTGGAATGAGTTGTTTAAGGAATTGGATTTTGATTGTTCGAGGAAGCAAGTAAAGATGCGAATGGAATCAGAGAGAGAGAGAGAGAGCGAGCGAGAGAGAGAGAGAGACCTTTTCTGTATTAAATAATATTTTTTTTCTTTTTTTTTAAATAAGGGCAAAACTTCAAAAATGGTCCCTGTAATAGTGAAAAGATAGAAATTCCCTTCACTTAACGGTCAAAAGCTAACGGAGTTAGCGAAAATGGCCATTTGTTAAAAGTTTTGAAACCACATGGACCATCTGTAAGGTTTTTTGAACTTAGGAACTAAACTTGATATTTTTGGAAACCACATGGACCATTTTTGAAGTTTTCTCTTGTTTGTTCTTCAACCCTTTGGTTTTCCTTCAATATTATATTGTTTATACATAAAAGTGTTATTCCATTATTAATATATAAAATATATGCTTTTGAGGGGAAGATTATATCGTGCGGCACGAATGAAGACGAAATTTAGTATTAAAATTACACTAGTTTAGTGTTTTTTCTTTTTATGTTAAAGTTGGACTTTCTCTAATAAACAATAGCCTATACAAAACCCATGTGACTGGAATAAATTGTTTGTATAGACACCCAACACCATTTCCTTTGTAGATAGATTAACCTTAATTTGTTTGGAAACGATATATATATATATATATATAATAATAATAATAATAATAAACCACGATTAGCAAGTAGCAAATTCGTGGGGAAAAAGAGTGCAAAGGTTAATTACAACAAAAGATGATTAAAAGGAGAAAAACACCAATCTACTCAACTACCACAACCAATGGGGTTCCTATATTTGGACCAGACATATGTCTCTGACATGATATTATCCACAATTTTTGTAGGATGGGTACCTAGCTGATATCGAACAAAATGATGTTGGTGTAATGATGTTACATAAGATTGGAAGACATATATATTGCACTAATGTTGTCACGGTAGAAAGTAGTAGCATTTGTCGGAGGACACAAAAGTTCCATCAGAAGATTCCAGATCCAACATGTCTCTACAATTATATTAGTAGCCCCTCTGTTGTTTCCTTCGACATTAGAACGAGATATAACACCACGGTGTTTAGAAGATCATAAGATAAGATTATCTCCCACGAAAAATGTAGTAGCTTGAATTATATATGTAGGATAATGGGCATACCCCCAGTTTGGATCTGAATAAGGCGTGAGGGCATAATAAGGGGAGACATAAATGTTAATGTCGTGATCGTTAGTGCCTAAAATATATCATCAAATATGCATAATAGCATGTCTATGAGTCTCTCTGGGATCATGCATGAATTAGCATATCTTCTAAACAAAAAAAATGAGATGTATGATATGGTAACTATGAGGTATTGGAGTGTACCAGCCAGATTGTGGTATAGAGAAGGATCAAAGATACAGTTGTCGTCAGCAGGAAGTTTATGAGAAGTCTCAGCTCAGGTAAGGTAAGGGCTACACTGAACCATGTTAGCACGCTGAAGAATGTTAGTGGCATACTTTGCTTAAGACAAAAAAAGAATGGTGGAGTTTGATGGGTTTTGAGCATTCTAACACTCCTATGGTGTACACGCAACCCTATATACCTTGGATCTATGTTTTCTCTATTATACATGCAAATATTCAATATTCCAAGGTTTTATCCTAACTAGCATACTATGAAGCAACTATACTACAAGAATCTAGTAGAATGACATATATTTTGATGGAGCTTGAAGTCTTGAACCTTTAAGAGCCGAGTGCCTCAAGTGTTGCACCTCAAATGGCTCACACAACACCAAGAACCCTTGGAATAACTAGAGAATAAGGATACTTGCACCAAATCGGTTTTGCCCTTTTGTATATACACACTAGTGCCATTTCATGAACTAGGGACCTCTTTATATAGTATGGAGAATTAGGGTTACATTCATGTAAACCCTAATACCAATGACCTTTCATTTCCATAGGATCCATAAGTTAAACACTCCATGGACTATCCATGAAAACTTAGCCCAACCTAAATGAACATGGCCCACCACACACACACACATACACACATATATATATATATATATATATATATATATATATATATATATATATAAGAGTCCATATTTAATTAGTTCATTTTGATCACAAAATTAATTCTTGATCAATACTAATTAAATAATATGATTTCATATTAATATATTAGAACTTATAATATATTAATATAAATCACTAGTATCATTTTCCTCATTTTGTCTATCAAATTGTTCCAATGCCATGCAACCCAAATGAACCATGCCAAGTCGGGTTGAATACATACCAATAATAGTTATGGGCTTAGACATCTAATCCAACAGTCTCCCACTTGGATAAGTCTAGAACTATTATTGCGTATAACTCCAAAACCCGACTAGCAGTCGTAGCTCTTAAAGTCGTTGTTGAACTCTGATCTAGTCAATGACTTGTCCATTAGATAAGGGATCATTTATTCCTACATTTTAGATATCATATGGACTGAGACATGGATTATAATCATTTTTTCTGTCCATTTGTTGTTTCCCGATTTCCGATTTATGACGACTGACTAATTGAACAAATCAAATCAGTCCAAACTTGACCAAGCACTTCAGGGTGTCATCTTTAAATCATCGAGGGGCCCATAAATATCGCTTTTATCCCACCAAGGGTAAAAGGAATGGATAAATTTCGACTCATATGCTTGTTCTACCACTTGTTGAATCATACACAAAGGCACGTTTTATAACATCAAGTTACCAATGCGTTTTCGTTCAATCAATGTATAACCAACTCATAGTCAATAAATCATATCTCTAGGTTTGAAGAATATAAGATATTATCGTCTCATGATCACTCGTGATAAAATCCATGAAGTGATTCAAATGAGCGTGGGTTGAATCCAATACTCAGAACTTATGAGCACTCATGAATGTTTTAGCAACTCTCGCTATGTCCAATATCTTAGACATCTACAAACCAACTTCATGACAATCTTGCCTTAATACTTACTTCCAACTTATTATCAACTGTGGATGGTTTGAATAACTTAGTCATTCGGGAAGAGTGACCTAGTTATTCTTGAAGTCAAAACATGGAAAGTGAAACACAATAATAATCGAATCCAATATGGTCTAAGAACTTATGAAGATAAATAGAACACCTTTTATTTATCACCATATTGATTACACGTTATTCATTATATAATGTTTCAATTAATCAACTTTATACTTGAATTAAAACAATAGTTGTCCCATGCTCTAAGCATGTACACTATGTTTTCCTAAACACTCGTCATGCTATACACCAATTATGCACACTATGTTTGTCTATTATATCTACTTTCAAATAATAGATCGATTGAACATAATTTCAATGATTCTCATTTCACAATCCCAAATCTTTATCGTAAATGTAAGAATTCCAAATTCTTACCAGTTACCTAAATCTATTAGATTTTAAACTTATATGCATTGATCCTCTTGTAATAGCTATGCACAAAGTCATGAAGACTTGTCAACAATCATTATAGAGTATTCCAATGGAGATTAACTCCATCGAACCGAAGTCTCATATTCAAAGTACATTGCTTTGAACATCTTTCATGCATTAAGTTTTCTAATCTTAAACAGATTGGATACCTTCCATCTATGGAGACATTTCCATATTCCCATTTTGACTATCACTTATGAACAAGAGTTGCCTCCTTTCAGAATATGTCAATATGGTCCTTCCAAAATTAACATTATACTTCTAACTGTCCCTGAGCAACCAATCTTTGGTAAACCTTAGATTGTCCTTGACAATTGCTTAATTATTTTAGTCATATCCAATTCTAGACCTTTTCCTTTCTTAATGCCCCCAAGCATTTGGAAAATTTAGAAAGGATAAATATTATAGCACATGCAATCGATCCTATACCTGAAGCACATAGGACATGATTCATGATGTCTCACATAAAGACATGATTCTAGACCAGTCTTTTGCTACAATATTTTTATTTTCCATGTGCTCATAATCCAACTATGAAGAGGGATGTCGTAATCATAATTGGATTTTGAGAATGCAATATATATAGAATTTCCTTAAGTTGAGCCATTCCAACATAAAATTCATATATACATATATATATATATATATATATATATATATATATATATATATATATATATATATATAATATCCTTGACTAAAGATGATTAATATCTCAATCTAAGCTTTTCAGAATTGAAATAAAGTATAATTTCTTCTCTCTTAATTATAGCAAAACTACTTTTCCCAATTGAAACATTTGTTTTCTATAATTAACATTGCTAACTTGCAACACTTATCATAATTATCATGCTCCCACTAACATGATGATTATTAGTATAATAGTTATGCTCCCACTAGCTTTGACATGTACTCAGAAATCAGCTGGACTTCTAGAAATCAATATTTTATTGACTTTCTTACAAAAGTTCAGACTTCTGATACGAGATGCTTTGATAAAACTTTATCAAAACCACACACCTTTCCTTATATAGCACACATGTGTGTCTAAACAATTTCAGAAGTATGAAAAGGGATGCCATAATCATAGTCTCAATTGTTTAGACCTTGGACATTCCTCACAAGTCCATGTTAGTTTGCCGGTTAACCA